AAAATACTATTAAATAATGATAACTAATATTATTGTGCACTTATTAGTTTATTTACATACTAAAAATATATTTAGTATTTATTTTTTTATTTAATACAATATATTATTTTTTTGTTGAAATAAATAATGTATAGATGATATAAAAATATAATTTTTTTATATATTTCGTCAATTTAGTTATTCTTCACATATAAAAAATATAAGAAATATTAAATTCGATTAATTTATTGAAATAATTAGTTTATTCAACCGTAACGAGATTATTTTTATTATAAAAAACATATTTAGTTTATAAATTGAATAAAATATAATTCAATAAATAAAATATTATTTAAAAATAGGATTTTTTTAAGTTACTTGAAAAAATAATGTCGACCACAAACTGAAATAACCGTGATCATAGAAGTAAAACCAAATCATCGAACTAAAAAAAATAGTTCATTCGATTAAGTACAATTCGATAGTCATTAATGTGCAATTCATCTAACAGTATAGTGAAATTCATTGGGGCACTTACAGTGCATATATTTTTTTTAATAATTTGTGCTAATCCAAACTAAATCAAATTTAAATAATCGGTAACCGAAATACTATAAATAATATAAATAACTTAATATTTAAATTATAATAAAATTATTTAGTATTTTTAATATTTATATTTTTCTAGCTGAGTAAATAATATATATATATATATATATATATTATTTCTTATATAGTTAGTCGGTTTGATTATTTTAGTTATTTTAAAAAAATAATGTTCATATTAATATGATATAATTGATATTTTACAAATAACATAGATAATCGACCCGAAATGTATGATTTGGAAACGAAAGTTTTAGTTTATTCAATTTCGGTCATTACGTGCAATTCGTCTAACATTATGGTGCAACTCGGTAGTCGTTAATGTGCAATTCTTCTAACACTATTGTGCAGTCGCAATGTATTTATTTTTTATTTTTATAAAATTATATTTATTTTTTTTTAATTTTTTTATATATTAAAATTTGACATATTAAAAATTTTAACAAGTGTACATTTTATTTATCATTAATATGCATTTATGAGATATGTCTATATTTGAAATGATATATTTAGTTCACTCAATTTCGGTCATTATGTGTAATTCATCTAACATTATGGTGCAACTCGGTAGTCGTTAAAGTGCAATTTGTTTAACACTACTTGTGCAGTCGCAGTGTATTTCTGATTGTTGTTATAAAAGTATATTTATTAATTTAATATTTTTATATTTTAAAATTTTACATATTAAAAATTTCAAACATTGAACACATTATTTTTCATTAATATGAATTTATGAGATATTTCTATAAATTACATATTAGGTCATTAACTAAATTAAAAAAATACTCAAAATTAATAAAACTATAAAATTGTCCTCAACGTTGTCTAAATTTAAAAAAAAAAAAAAAAAATCAATGAAACCCGAAATCCCTAATTTGAATTTGCAAATATATTACACATTTATTAAATTTTCTGAAAATTACACATTAGGCACATGTATCAAATTGGAATATATTCAATCTTCATTTATTTACAAATTTATCCCATCGGCTGAATTGAAATAAAAAAACAAAAAATGAAAATTGTAATTTAGTTCCTATGAAATATCAAATTCTCAACTTCAAGTCCCCTATCCAAAAATTAATATCACGTCTTTGCCACGAACCACTCGCCGAAAGGAAGGTCAATTTGCCGTTCAGATCACACCGCAGCGACGCCAGACAACTGGAGCTCTGCAATGACTCCGGCAAGTCCCCTGTTGGTCGAGTTCGCCGGCGAGAATGTCTTTGCTCATCGTGACAGCCTCTATCGTCATATGTCGTTGTCACCGACGGAAGAAATCTGGTCTCTACGGATGTGCACCGCTACCGACCGATTCACCATCTCCGATGACATCGTCCAGCTTCTTACTGCCTCGCCGCTCGCCAAGTTGCTGGACTAGCTTGCCCTGACCGCTACCCTCCAGGGGATGGACAGGCTCTGGATCGGCTCCGTCGGGGGATCTCCACCCGGACCTGTCGCCCTCACCTTGCCACCGCCATCGTCGCATTTTTCTGGCAGGTTGTCTGCTACGGTGGTCAACGGCGGGTTTACAACTCCTGAGCATGTCTTTCGTTGTCGAGGCTGCTGATGTTATCGTCGTCGTCATCGTATTTCGGTCGACGGAGAGATTGCGAGAGGTGCCGGTGAGCTTCGATTTACCGATCTCTGCTATGTGTGTGTGTATTTGTGTGTGGTGTGTAATGCGTGTTGAGTGTTGAAAACCTTTTTTTTTTTTTGTTTTTCGTGTGTGAACCGGTTTTAATGTGTGTGTGTGTGTGTCAGTGTGTGAAAGAGAGAGTAGGATATGTGAAGTGTTTTTGTCATGTGGCACAAAATAATTGGATGGAGATGATTTGTTGGTTGTCATAAATTAATTTTTATAATTTTAAAATGTCTAGAATACCCTTAATGAATAAATGAGTGCTGATTGTTTTAGACACTAGTTGTTACCCGTGCATTTGCACGGAAAACTGTATGATAAAAAATAAAATAATAAAAAATATAATCAATAGTAAAAATTATAACATAATCATTGAAAAAAAAGTTTTAAGAAAGAAAATTCAAATATAATTAAACACTTCTTTATATACAACGTCCATAATTTTTTGAAGCCCAATCTGATTTCTTGATGTATCCCAATAAAAAAATTTAGTAAGAGAATATTTTAAATAAGCCACAATCCATTATTTTTCTTATAACTTAAGCTCAAACATTCACATCCCATTTTTTATTAACAAAGCCCAGACAAAATCAAACAATAAATTCTTTTTCGGGCCACAAATGGGTCAAATAAAGTTGATTTCGTTTGAATCCAAGTAGTATCAAGGCTGATGTTTTTTTTATTGGGCCAAATTAAACATAATCCGAATGCATGGACCCATATAGCACGGTCAAAGCTTCATCCACCACACAAATGTAGAATATTCAACAAAGTGGTAGAGACAGGTATTTAATGCCTAAAACCCTACCACCTGCAACATTTTCGTCGTTTTTTCTTCATTTTTAATCTTTTTTTTTTATTTATCGGAGACAAATACTTGGATCGATTCTGATTTTGTTTAGCCGTTGTAGACATGCTTTTAATTTATACATGCCTTACATCATGAAAAACAAATTTCAGCCCAGTAGTTACTTCTTTGTTTGTCGAAAATTTCTTTGACTAAAATCGAATCAATCGCAATATTGTAGTTTTTTTTCTTGTTCTTAGCCAAGAAAATCATATTATCAAATTGCACTGCCATTTGGAACTCAAAAGAAATATGTTGTGTCGAAATAGTTTTTTCGGTGACTGATTATGAGTGTGGAATGCAAAGTGAAAATGTGTCTGATTTTTATTTTATTTATAAGCACCTACATAAGTCTATTAACTAATTAGTGTAAATACCAACAAATCAAGAGCATGATTAGTTGAAAATATTTTGATAACTGGAAAAAATATGAACTATATAATAGTGGCGCATTTGATATGATTTTTGAAACTGGAATTTATGTTCCGCCAACTAAAGATTTTATTTTTAGAGTCAAAATTTATGTTTTTGTTTGTATTTATTAATTAGGCATGTGCTTCTATCATATAAAAATTATTATGTTTTCTTAAGTTATTTTTATCATTCAAAATCAATTGAGATTTAAATTGTATTTTAACCATGCAACGTTTATATTAGTAACATGAATAAAATAATTTATATATTTGTAGCATATATTAAGAAAATTAACATAAATAAAAAAAAAAATATTGGTGTTTCTGATTTTTAGAAAAAAAAAATATATGTGCCAATCATGCACAGATGTACATATAATATTATAAGTAATATTTGAGAATTTAATATTAAAATTTTAGATAATGAATATATTACATTTTCAAAAATTTGATCATTAGAAAAAAAAATAACGATTTTATTATTATGAAAAATTGTATATTACCATTAGATACTAACTGTTTAATTCTTATTCTTATTATTATTATTATTATTATTATTATTATTATTATTATTATTATTATTATTATTATTTTTATTATTATTATTATTATTATTACTGTTATTAAAACAATTGTTTATAAGATTCTAAAGTTGTCTGACTATGCTATTAAAATAATTTACTAATTGTTTTTAAAGAAATTTTTCCATGAGATACAAAAGAAAAAGATAATATTGATGTTAAAATAAATAACTTAAAACAATTGTTCTTAATTATGTAATTTATATTTATTGTGAATTATTATTAGTTGGTATTAGCAATAACTATTATTTAATATAATAGAAAAATACATGATTATACTCATTATGATGTATTAATGTGAGAAATAAAAAATATTAATTATAATTTTTGTAACCGAAAATGGAGGAAAAATGTTAGAGGTTTTATTAAATAGGTAAAATTAAATGTTATATGCTAGCAATTATATATATATATAGATTGGATCTATGGTTACAATGTATTCGCATTTATTTCATTGAAAGTTTTTTTCACTGGAACCCAACCCTATATTTATTAGTAAAGCTACGAGCAACTTACATATCTGCAATTTCGATAGTATACTGGATATCTCGGATAATTAGTTTTACTCAGTTATCTGACCTCATACAGGAATATAGTCTAAGGTTGGAGAAGTCGATAAATCCTCTTCACATCCCTGAAAATCTCATGTACTCATGCAAGTGAATAATGTGTACCGACTCCCCAAGAAAGTTTCTTATTCATGCAATGGTGCTGATGAGGACCAAGTAAAGAAAGAAATTCAACAAAGAAGAGTCGAAAGTCGGTGAAGAAACCAGCCAACAACCACCTTGGACAAAAAACTGGCCATCAAATACAATGTGACCAAAACCTGGAAAAAAAAGAGAGAGAATGAAGGGAGAAATCTCTCAGTATCTCCAGACAAACTTTAAACTTGAGAGATCAGAGATTCCGAAAAGGATTAAGGTATTCCCTCATGCGGGGACATAAGACTCGAGCATCAGCTGAGCTGGTGAAGGTGAAGTGATTTCAACAATTAAATACATATATTTCCATTGCTTGTCGACTTTGTCCTTGAACATCTCTGTGAAGACTTTTCCCGCACCATGTGGCCCCCGAATGTGGAAATTCACCTATAAAATTAATAATTTCACTTATTGCTTCTCTCCCTAATTTGATTATGTTTGAAGGGTTAACTTCCAAAAACTTCAGCTACTTGGGGAGCAATGGTAAAGAAAAATTGAAGCTTTTTTAACATTTAGGATGTGTATTGAACAAAAGCGAATGATATTTGAGGATTATAAGTGAAATACTTACTGGGAAAAAAAACACAAACAAAAACAGAAAAGCTGGAATAAGTAGAAAGTTCTTTTCATTTGTGCAAGCAAAATAGAAGCATAAAACTTCAGTGATTTTGCGGAATAAAAGAAAGACGTTGGCATTTGGAACAGTAAAAGCCTCTCTTTGTTTGTTCCCTTAATGTATTTTCATTGAGAGAAGTAAATAAGTTGAGGTATTTTAAACATGATAAACTTGACTTACCACTATATGCTCAACCCCCTCTTCGTCCTTCCATGTTTTATTTGGAATACGTTGACGAGCAGCACGGTTTCTACTTTCTGATCCATAGCCCGTGATTGGAGATCCGATTCTCACCTTAACCTGTAGCAAGCAAGAAGTTAAGCATTTAGGACATACCAAAAAAAAAAAAAGAAAATACAGACATTATTAGTTAAGAATTGAGAGTAATCTTCAACACCAAGCCGTAGAAGAATCTACATGCACACGAAACAAGCACTATGGTGACTTGTGTACTAGAACATCCCATGTTTCTTTCAAAGTTCAAAATTTCACCTTAAGGATGAGTTTATAATGTCACAAATACCCCTCTTTTGGGAAATAACAAGTTTCAAGGGTGTGCTTGTAGTTTTCAAAGACAACACTTGTTTGTTATTAAGAGAGCGAAGAGTGAGTGGAAGTGATTACTTTCATGTTTTTTTCATAATTAGACTAAAAGTCAATGTAGTTGTAGTTAACCCTTTAACTAGATCCTAAGTTAAGCTGGTCGTGCATTTTGTATGGCATTAATATATTTTCAGCATACTGAGATACAAATACATGTACATCAATTATGAATGTCAGCATAACACTACAAATATCAAAACAATGAGAATGAAAATTGAGGAGAACAAACTTGGCCATCATTCTGAACCCTATCCAAAGCTTTGCTGAATATTTTGTACCTGCGAAAATTACAGTCAGTTAAATATACTGAAAATAAGAGATGAAAAATTCTGAAAATCCTCAATTCAGACATAAAAAGAAAAGTTCTTGACTTACTCCTTGGGTTCAAATATAAGTTCCTTGAAGACTCCGTAAGCTGCAGCACCAGCAATGCCAAGACCAGCAAGAATTACAAGGCTATAAGAAGCTCCCTCTGTGAATGTCACTGGCTTTTGTGGGATATTGTAAGTTGGCGCGTCAAACGGATCTTCAATAGTGGAAATCTCTTTTTGAGTCTGTCAGATGGAAATCTCGTGTGATTGTTTGAATACATTAATTACAAAAAAAAAAAAAAAAAAAAAAAAAAAAAAAAAAAAAAAAAAAATTACCTTAGACCATACAAGAAAGCAGTTATCTTTCAAAATTACAAATAGCTATGTGACATTTGTTTCTATAATATCAATTGTTATATAGAACATGCAAGAGCCAAGTCTTACACAATGAACCTTGAATAAAGATGAAAAAACATAAAAACAATTCCAACCAAAAGTAATCTGACTGGTGACATATTCAAAGGTATTGACATAAAATCCTTCAAAAAACTCAAAAGAGACGTCATTAAAAGCTGAAACTAAGCATAGTTGCAAACTAGCTTATTTATATACCATTAAGCAAGGATGCTTGTGTAAAAGCAACATTAGTAGGACATACAATTTCAAGAAAGTTTTTCTGAGCTGTAAATGGCCATTTGGACTCTTATACAAATTGTATTTCGACAAGAAGATTTTGGTGCAAAACGTCCCTTTGTCATTCTAGCAACAGATAATTTTATTATTTGCATATTTGATAATCAAACTACATAGTTGTACAACAATAATATCACAGCAGCTTGGTCTAGAAAGTTATAAACATAATGCACTAACTAGTAACTACCCACAAAACTCAAGTATTTGTGATACAAACCTGCGATTCCTTTTTACTGTTTGACTCTGTAGTTTTGGATGCAAAGCATCTAATAGAATAAGGACTTCTTAATTTCTGTGCATCGCTTGTAGCAAGTTGATATGGTGACTGATGAAGCACTGCATGTTGCCTGGCCCACTGATTTCTGAGTAGGACAGAGTTTCCTGCAAGCATTATCACCAAAAACAAATATCATCCAAGAAAAAAAGACACAGAAAAAATCCAATTCCTCTTCTTTCATATAATGCCTTCATAAAGGAACTTGCGACCATCAATGAAAAACTACTAACCACCAACTTGCCGTGCAACCTGAAAATACGGAGAAAAAAAAAAAAAAATCGTCAATTAAATGTATGTAAGTTTAATACACAACCTGACTTAAACTAAAATCTTTTCATACAAACAATACAATCTGGATACCAAAGGTTTACAATTTGTAATAAAATAAAACAATATATTTCTCGAATAATGTCACAAAAATTAGCATAAAATGGGGAACATATGTGGTTGCCAGTCTGCTCAATCAACATTCAACAGCATCAAGTCGATTCAACTACAAAAACAACCAAACAACATGTATTGGTTTATTTAACCATGCAAAACTAGGCGGACATAATACAGATGAAAAGGCAACATTCTTTCCAATGCAAATTGGAATTACAGGCAAAAACATGCGAGATGAATCATTTAGCTAGATTAAAAGGACTCTTAGCTTTCATCCTGTTAACATTGATAAATGAATCTCATTTATCCAGCCAAAGAAACCACCATTCACGTACACTCTTTCAACCAAATAGATAATATGCTGTCCTTTAAGAAAAGTTACTTCCCAGATCTCACAATATAACATAGTTTAGCTACTTATCATATCCAGTTAAAAAAATTGTAATTTTTAAGTTAATCAAGAAAGATCCAACAATGTTGAAGAAAATAATTAGTAGTTACTAAATGTAATCCGGACCACGTAATACACGAAACACCTCAAGCCACGAAGCCATGTAGCAAGCATAAACACAGGATAAAGCATATGTAGAATTACTATTAAACACATATCGAAAGACAAGTCATCTAGGATGAAAAAGTAACATGGATATGGCTAGTAAATTTCAACTTATTCCAGTCATTCTGTGACGTCTAGTCGGTGCCGGAAAGGTAACGGCATTGAAGAGACTCAAGCGATATGATTACATTAAAGAAAACACAAGCTACTCATCCGGTCAACTTATAATTAACTCTAACACCAAAAAAGCATTTGATTCAACTACATATGCAAGATATCACAAAATCTACTCACAAGCAAAAAAATCAATCCCTCTGCTAAACATGCACAAAATAATAATGTGCCCCCATCCATTGCAAGCAAAATTGCCTAAATTGCGCCACATAAAAGGACATAATTAATCAAAACGAAAAATTTAACATACCCTTTTGGAGAATTCACATATTCCTGATCTTTCTGCCGCCAAAGACGAAAGCCCAGCAAACCCGAAGCCAGAGGCAGCGCTGGTGGGCCCATGCTTCAATCCATTGAAGGCTGATCTAAAAACATTCGACCATTTGCCCTTCACATAAAACCCACCTCGCTTCATGTGTCGCATCTTTTTTCTGCACATACGCCGCAGCAAGTTCAGATAAACTGAAAAGGTAAGAGGGGCATCAGCAATCGATTCATGTGTGGCTAATTATTCTGTTAATTGGTTCATTTTCTGATAAGAAATTGAGGTAGAAGAGAAGTAGTGAAGATTACACGAACAAAGGAGGGATGGCGGACCAAGGAGAAGGTTTTTGGGGGTTCTGGTTGCAGAGCACGTGCCGAGAGTGTAAGCACGTGCAATTTCCTTTTTATTTTTCGTAAACAAAAGGGTAAAAA